ATAGGAATATAACTTTATTTACTCTTAATGTGTTATTTAACAATAGGAATTTAAGAATACCCTGATTGGGACTTTAAAGCAGAAAGGCAGTTAGTTGCTAGAATTTTCGGTTGACAGTGACAATGTAAAAGGGCTTAGAGCCGTGGTGCGCCAAATGTATATTCAAATATGTAGTTAACTTTTACAATGCCTCGATCAATTGTTTGCATTCTATTATCATAGATTGTTACCTTGTATGTGAGCTCAAAAAAGATGAGAAACTAGGGTTAGGAAACCATCGTGTGAATGAAGTATTAACACTAAGACAGGGTAAACATTCTGGTTTATGCACTTTTGATTCTGGGAATAATGTAAATGAAGTATTTTGGAATGTGTGAACATTGGAATATAAACATATACATCGTTACGACGAATGGAAGTTTTTTAATGGGGTCGGAAAATCAGGCGAATACAAAGGAGTCCTGATTATTGTTTGGAGAATAATAGGTTAAACAGAAATGTGCGCTTCGTATACACGTTTTTGGGTATCTCGGCTAAGAGAGCAATTGAGTTGTTATCAAAGGATATGTTAGTACAACTACGTACGAAAGTAATGTAGGGGGGGCCTCAGCATAATCAGGTATTCAATTCACTTGGGCAAATTTTTCAAGAATAAGATTTTTCGGTCCAATTTATCGTTTTTTCAGCTTTAGTATTCAACTTGTAAAACTACCAACTGATCGTAGGACGCCTAGCTAACAAAAGATTAGGTGATTGTTAGATACGTGATGGTTATTTGCTAAATCTACAAGGATGTGGGCTCTCATAACAAATTGAGCCATAATTCATAAGGCATTATAATGAATCATAATCTAGTGTGAAGAAAGTTCTACTGAAAAGGGCTTTGTCACTCATAGGTTATTGGATATGTTGTGATTCACTAATGGTGTTATTTGGGTTATTTATTAGATACTTAATACATGTTTGGAGGGGACTGTTCTACCTGGGGGCAGCTATTGTCATGGGAAGTAAAACATGTTTGATGATCTCGTTCAGGGGTTCAGTAAAGGGGTAAGGTACCGGTGTGAGACGAGGTCATCATTACAAACCCTGCCGCAACAGTTCCGAATTTTTTTCTAGGGAGAGCCCAAGTTCTTAGGGTGGCTAATTCATTTGTGATATTTTGGTTCTGTTTGAAAAAGGGATGTACAAGGGGCCCTCATACGTTTGGGACCACAATGTATATTATTGGGAATAAGCATAAGACGTAAATGCGAGAATGTCTTATGCTGCTTATAAAGATTTATTAAAGGCTACTAACTCTACTATTTTTACGCAAATAGGGTAAAAAAGGGCAACAGTGCTGGGGATACTACACTTATTCTACGGTCATTACATAGAAGGGTACAGTTACCAGCCCTGGAAAGGGCGGCATAACAGAAGGTCGAAAGGGGAGAATACGCCAGCAGTACACTAAAGCAGGTCTGAGTGATCGGGATTCCAATTGGTTTTCACAAGGGTGAGGGAGAAATCGGGTCTCACAGACAATATGGGACGCACTGGGTGGATTACAGGACTGGCAATTTTCTACTTTTGTTATTGTGAAAGATCCAAGATTGTCATAAGGTAATGAAGGTGGTGGTGGGTGCAGGTTTGCTATAACCTGGTAAGGAGGAGCCTGATAGTGTGGGGGCATTGAGAGGGGAAGCTCTTGAGGGTGGGGTTATCGGAAGCAATTGGTGGCATCCACATTGTCGTTGAATCATCCTGAATTTACGAGGTTTCACTCATAAGAGGCAAGTTTCAAAGGATGGTGGTAGAAATCGCACTGGTAATGATTAACAGGATTCGGGAAGCCCAAAAATGAATCTATATAGCCTGATTGGGATTCTGATAAATTTACGGGCATATAAAAAAAGACTCGATGGTGGTAGCGCCGAGTAGGAGATTTTCTAGTTAGTTTTTTTATTTGTTTTCTTGTCATGAATGCTCTTGGTGGAACTAGTCGTTGCTCTTACTTGCTTCCGGGGCGCAGGCCGGACTTGGGTTTTGGTCGTGACTTTGGTAGTGCGTTGCCGTAAGTTTTATTGGGGTCTAACCTGAAGTTGGTCTGGGATTTTGCACCTTTTTCCATTAGTTGATACAACACATGTTAGTGGAGTGATTTCCAAAATTAAAACATAAAGGGGTGCAATTCTTCATTTCATATTATAGGAAACTTTTTAAATATTTTTTGTATTCAATTTCATAAGTTTGTCTATCATCGTAATTTATTCTATATCATATTAAAATTGGTTTATTATATACCTTGGGTAATAAGATTAATAAAAAAGTTGAATTTAAAATAATTTAATATCTATGGTTCTACTCATACTTAAATACAACTATGATACTTAAACATATTTAACTCTCTTTCAATTGGATAAAGATTTACATGTTTCGGTCAATGATGTCTCAATAGTATCTTTAATCGTATGATTTGGACTTATAGATAACAAGAATTTAAAGGAGTGAAAAATGAGAGTGGCTGGTAACAATTTAAATAATATTTGCCGCATGTTGGCTTGGAATATCAGTAATGCACGAATTTAAGTGACGTTTTTTTAATTAAACATTAAACTTTTCAAGCCTGAATGTTACATCAATTTGTAGTCATTGGTATTTATGTGGAAAATTTCTATAAGAGTGTATAATATGTTAGTCTTTTGGTAATCAATTATTTAATTAAAGTTTAATGTAGAGATACTTAAACTTTACTAATTTTCAAATTGAAAGGGCAACAAAATCTCGTATTATCAAAATCTAATGTATCTCAGTTCACTAGCTTCATTTGATTAATTTCTTATGTTATAATTGAAAGAAGTTTACCATTTCTAAATTTATAATTTTCAAATAAAAATAATTTGTTTATATATATTTTGGTCACATACAGGCAGTTGGGCAGAGACAATGAACTTTTGGTCTTCAATTGAGACGGGATATAACTATATTGATTGTCTCTTACGTTTTGCATTTCCGCCTATTGTGGAGACCGGGATATTAGTAAAATTCAACAAAAGGATTCCCCTCCTGGACTTTTACCATTTAAGGGAAAATTAATTTATAACAACCTCACTGGCTCAATTAAAAAGGTTTTTTTGACACACAAATTAACTTAATATGAGTATTGTATATTTAGAACTAGATATAGTATACTGCCTTTTTCCCAAGATTGATTATGGACTGTCACAATTTTTACATAATTTGGTCCTCTTTTTTAATTGAATTTCTGGATGCCTAATTGAAAGTTAGATTAAGATTATTACTATATGGGCACAAACGAACGTTGTAGAGATCTATTTAAAAAAGGTTTAGTTTTGGAAGGATTGAGGAATAATGAGGAAATGGAGACTCTCACTAAGAATGAATAAATTGTGCAATTTATACAAAATTATGTATGAAAAAGGATTGTCGGACAAATCTATGAAATATTATAATTTAATGGAGTCATAAGCATAGAAATCATCTTGTTTTTACGCAGATTACGAAAATAGTGAATTACATTCATATAAAACTAGGCAGGTAAATAAATGGAGGTTTCTTCAATCTTTTACATTTTATTTAAGATACAATAAAAATTAATTAAATAATATAGTTACATTAATAAATAGAATTAAAATATTAATTTCAATTCACTAAAATTTATTTCATTAAAATTACCTCATTTAATTTGAATATATGAAAAGTTTAAAGAGAAAATAGATACTTAACTTAATATATTTGTTGACCTACAAAATTTATTTACAATAATTAATTATTGCTAATTAACATTTTAGTTCATTATTTGAAAATTTTAAAAAGAGTGTATAATATTATCTTTAATCATTTAATCAAAATTACATAAGTAAATTATTTAAATTAAAGCAACATAGATATAAATTACAATAATTTTTTTGAAAATTACATTCAATTTAATTAAAAAATAAAAAATTATATAATTTACGCATTGCACAGACTAGTGATTAAAGATTAATATATTCCTTACCTTCATTCCTTTGTGCGTTTAAAGATTTTACAGGATTTAATTAAGAAAATAATTAAATCATCTAAGTTTTAAAAATATATATATATTAATTAGACTAAATATCCTTTTTCCCAATTAATTACTCAAATTTTAATAATTCTCTCTTTTAATTAATTTGCCCCTAAACTTGAAAGAGATGAATATTATAAGATAAATTTTAAAAAGTTATTGAGAATAGTTATACGTTGATTAGAAATATGAAAAAATTGACAAATAATTTCATATTTAGAGCTCTAAGAACAGCTACATCTTATTACCAGATACGAAATATCTACATTCAATCGAGCAAATGAGATTTTCCCCCCAATTATAATTATTGAAATAAATTCTGTAATTACACTAAATAGAAAATTATAATTTTATCTATGTATTTTGTCATAATATAAAATATTATCTTAATATTTTTAAAAATATATAGTTTTATCTTTTTTGTTTTACTTCTGTTACTCTTCTATCATATTGTACCGTTTATTCGGTAAATAAATTACTATTTTATCTTTATATTTTATTAAAATTAATTAATCTCAGTGTATTTAACAGAAACTATAAAAAATTATCAGACAAAAATATGACAGTATAATAAAAGCAAGCGGAAAAAAAGATTAAATCATGTATTTTAAAAAATATAAGGAAAAAAAATCGTATATTATAATAAAATGTAAAGATAAAATAATAATTTTCTCCTCCTAGATCAGAGGCTACTCTTTCTTCTTTCCATGGAGAAAATCACTGCAAAGCTGCAGATTTGACAGTAACAGTATCTCTTCTTTTTACCTTCACTAGCCAAAAAAGTGAAACTGAGTTTTTGTCTCTTTACCTCTGCTGTGTCCCACCATGAGCAAAACAGAACATGCCTGCTCGGCTACTCGCAGCCATCCCGCAAAGAATCTCTTATCTCCACCCCCACACACAAAAGTTACAGAAAAGGAAAGAAAAGAAAAAAACTTTCCAAAATTGTTTTTTCAAGAACAGAATTTGGATAAATCATAAACCAAAACCCTCCTCAAGAAAAAAAAAATTAACTTTTGAAATCATATTTTATTTGCTAAATATCTCTCAACCATCTCTAGAATAATTATCTAGCAAGGTAGGAATGTATTTGAGCCACTGTTACAATTTACAACCTCTCTTTCTTTCTCCTTCTATGCAGTGAGAAACTAGAGAGGGAAAGAGAGAAAGGAGGGAGATTCATTCTCTCTCCTTCTCATGTCAATAACCTTCCATGGTTGTTGTCCCCATCACTCACAGCCACCATTTCTTTACTTTCTCTCCTCTCCTTCCTTTCTTCTCTTTGAAATAAACAACAATAAAACCCCAAAAAAACCCTACCATGAAAGTAACACCAAAATTTTTTTTTAATTAGTTTTTGCTAATGTCACTATTATTATTCTAATCCTGGTTTTATTATCTAAACACTTCACATTTTCCCAGAATTTGCAGCTCTCTTTATGTTTGCTTGTTTGTTTCTGCTCTTCGTTCACCGGCAAGACATTCATCAATTATCAAACAAACATCTTAAAAAAGAGTCTTTTTTAGTCTTTTTCTTTTAAATATAGAGAGAAGCTGAAAAGGAAAGGAAAACAACAAACTTCCAACCCAAAACATATCCTTATTGCTCCGTTACTTCAAAGATGCTTCCTACCATCTGCATTCTTTTAATTTGCCTCTCTACTTCTTCCCTTCTCTGTATTAGAGCTTCTTCTTTCAATCTCTCCCTTCCACACCAACACCCTGACCCTGAATCTGTTGCTGAAGATATTCAAAGGTATAACAAATCAAATCTTGCAATACTGAATCTGTGTTTTTCTCATTTTCACTTTCCCAGATTTTTTTCTCCTTAATAGTCTCTGATTTCCCATTCTTCATTTATTTATGAGAATTAAGTTTACAATATATCATAGTTTCCCTGATTTATTGCATTTTCTCAGCAGCCAAATAGGGGTTTTAGATATTTATATGAGGTTTTCCTTATATTGGTTCTGTCATTTGCCTTATGAGCTCACATTTTCCGATCCTGTTTACTTGCCCTGTTTTTAAGCTACTTTGCTCTTTATTATTTTCCAACAATGTAGAGTTTCTTCAAAAACAAAGAGGTTTTTAATTCTTTACTTGCCTTTTTCGGTTTCCTTTTTCCTTGCAGGAGAGTCAATGCATCTATATCAACAAGACAACTTTTGTCGACTCAATGCCAAACCGGGAACCCAATCGACGATTGCTGGCGATGCGACAGCAACTGGGGGGCCAACCGCCAACGCTTAGCCGACTGCGCCATCGGCTTCGGCCAAGGTTCATTAGGCGGCTTTGGCGGTCAGATCTATGTCGTCACTGATTCCTCCGATCATGACCCAGCTAATCCAACTCCGGGAACTCTCCGGTACGGCGTTATCCAAAATGAGCCGCTCTGGATCACCTTCTCCACTAGCATGACCATCAAGCTTAAACACGAACTGATCTTCAACAGTTACAAAACAATCGACGGTCGTGGAGCTAACGTCTATATTACTGGCAATGGATGTCTGACTCTACAGTATGTCTCCCATATAATAATCCACAACATCCACATCCATAATTGTAAACCGTCGGGGAATACTGTTATAGCCGCATCCCCAACGCATGCTGGGTGGAGAGGCAGATCGGACGGCGATGGTATATCTATTTTTGGATCACAGAAAATATGGATTGATCACTGCTCTTTATCATACTGTACAGATGGGTTGATCGATGCTATAATGGGGTCCACTGGGATTACAATATCAAACAACTATTTTTCTCATCATAATGAAGTGATGCTATTGGGACACGATGATAGGTACGTTTTGGACTCGGGAATGCAAGTTACCATAGCGTTTAACCGATTCGGTGCTGGGCTGGTGCAGCGTATGCCTCGGTGTAGACGCGGGTACATACACGTGGTCAATAATGATTTCACATATTGGAAGATGTACGCAATCGGCGGTAGCGCTAGCCCTACCATTAACAGTCAGGGTAATCGGTATATTGCTCCGGCGGATCCTGATGCCAAAGAGGTGAGTTTTTTAAACGGAGCTTTCCTTTTTTTTTTTTTTTTTTTTTTTTTTTTTTTTTTCTTTTTTTTTTTTTTTTTTTTTTTGTGGTTTTTTTTTACTTTTGAGTTGAAGATGGAAAGGGTTTGGTTTGCTTGGTGGCTTCTACGCCACATTTTTTTTTTTTTTTTTTTTTTGTTTTTTTTTTACTTTTGAGTTGAAGATGGAAAGGGTTGTTTGCTTGGTGGCTTTACGCCACATGCAATGGTGGCGCGTGGGACAGACGTGCCGCCTTTAATGGGGGTTTATTGTAAGCTGGGTACTAAAATTTAATGAATAACCTGCCCCGAGAGAATTTAAGGCCATGTCAGCTCGAGAGTGATGCTAGTCTAACTACTAAGTAGTAGTGTATGCCAGCCAATTAAATTAAGGTGCAGAACAGGCGCCTTTTTGTTATATTTTGTTGCCCATGATCTATTCAATTGGTTGACGCTCTTTTAGGAGCGTAGACTGCAAACTGCTCATTATTTTATTACTGGGGACTGGGTCATTGATAGGTGACTAAGCGCGTGGACACAGACGAAGGAGATTGGGCAGATTGGAATTGGAGGACGGATGGGGACATAATGGTCAATGGAGCATTTTTTGTGCCCTCTGGAGCTGGATTAAGCGCTCAGTATGCGAAAGCGTCCAGTGTGGAACCCAAATCTGCTGGCTTAATTAACCAACTAACTATGAACGCTGGTGTCTTGGGTGGGCCCAGGTATGACCCCTGCTCTCTCTCACTTTTCAATTCTGTCCTTGTCACGTATAACTGGTGTCCTTTTCACTTAAATGTCTCACCGACAGTAAAATGACAAATATACCCCCACCTTTTTTTTTCCGGAGAAAATTTTATTTTATAGGTAAGAAGAAATTGATTTTTGGGTATAGGAAAAAGTGGGAGTGGAAATCTAAAAGAAAGAAGTGGTATTAGTAGTGTTCAGAGGAAACCTTTTTCAGTAGTAAAGAATCTAACTCATGAATAGTTAAATATAAAGTTCGACTAAGAATGAGGTTCACAGCTGAACATAGATAAATTTATTAAAATAAAGCAAGCATACAAACTGGGGCTTCTAACTAATTAATAAGATGAGTGTTTCAATGGTGCTAGGCTATTTACTATTAGATGGCAAATTGGAGTAACAGTTTTATTTGGAAGCAACGCATTATGTGCGGCAGAGGCATGAGCGTAACTGTCTCCCACTTTGTCACCTTGCACGTGATCATGGCGCGTGTATTGGGAATCTAGCTGAAGACCTAACAGCCTTGCAGTTCATTTATTTGTCCTACTCTTGGGAGCATTTCTGCCCTACACTTTTTTTTTTTAACCGTTGCTCCGCCTTGTAGCTAGTTTCCTTTGACCCCATAGTGGACCACCCGTAAACTTTTTTGCACTTTTGGCATTGGAAATTGATCTCTAGTTAATATTTTCAATTTTGCTAAGTACAGTTGCAACTGCCTAATTTTGACTCTCCACTAACACTAGCTTTGTTAATCCCAGATGAACAGTCAGACTTGTGCAGTCACAATTGTACAAAGCTGGTTACTTTGGTTAAAATTTACTCTATTAATTACTTGAAAAAAGAACCAAAACATATACTTACTAGCTATAAGATTCAACTTTCCTTCGAAGGTTAGGAAAAGAATAAAAATTTGCTATGGCTGTAGTTTCTCACATGTTAGAGTGGTTCCATGCTGGAAAATTTTATTAACTATTTGAAGAAAAAAAAAATGTTTGCTTAGCATGAGCAAGCGATCCTTATTGTTGGATACAATTTTAAAAGTAAAAGATTCAAATTCAAAGCAGGGAATTTTACAAGCAGAAAGCTTACCACATTGAATGGAAAATCATTTCCTGTGAATTATCTGGACATGCATTCTAAATCAGAATCAAGAAAATTTTGCCCTTTTTAATTAAAACCCATGTTACATGTTGTCTTTTGGGAGTATAGGATTCTTTTATCAATGACAAAAAGGACGCCTAAATCAGGAGTCAAGAAGCAACATATGCCCATGTGAGTTAACAGGGAAAGATTCAAAGTGCTAGTTGCAAAAGGATGGCCTTTTTTGGGTAGAATTGTAGGACACCCATTTAGCTTAGGGTCCATCTAGCTGGTGGTCTGTATGTATGGGTTTTTGTATACATGGGAAGGTGACTCAGTTATATTCGCTTGATCTGCTTTCCAGCCAATATGTGCGGGGCCAATTTTATGGTTTTTTATCATATTTTTCTGGTCCCACTTTGGCAAGAAGCTCACATCACTATTGGAAAAGGAGCTTTTTTCCTTGCCTGTGACCAATTTGCTTGCATGTTATTGTTGACTTTTGTTCATTTGGATATGTATTACTGTATAGTTCGTAAATTATGTGGTTGGGAGTGACAATATTGCAGTTGGTATATTCTATGTAGCTATCACTCGCAACTTGAACATCTTCAATTCCCTTGTATGGTTTTGCTAATTTTGAACTTTGATGCAAGACATTTGCATAATCTACGAAATTGTTCCGCATGTCCCCAATTCTATAATTAGCTTCATAGATTATATACACAAAATGAAATATGCAAAACTTTCTGCTTACAATTTTCCTAGCCTTTTTTCTTGGTTACTTCAAGCTAGAATTGTTGATCCTGTGTATCTCTGCCTGCTTTTTCTCTGTGTCCTCTGTCTGTGTGCATCTCACAACGGTAACTGCAAATTCAAAATATCGTAAGATCACAGCTGGCCCCACAGTCTGCCTTTGAACCCTACTTGAGACCCAATCCTCAATCCTATTTTGAAATTATATATCCATTTGCATAAAAAGCAAAAAATAAGTTTATTTTATTATTTTGAATGAAAACTATTATTTTTTATGGGGTTAGCAATGAAACATAATAAATTAGCTTTTTTTTTTTTTCTAGTATAATATTACATTAAACTTACATTTTATTATATATTATATTATATTTTATTACCACTCATCAAATATAAATTTAAAGATGTTATATATAAGCATATACTCTGCTCTACTTGCATATGATTTATCTGTCTTTTAGATGCATTTACTCAAGCATCATTATCTGAAAGAAAAATCTCACGTTGTGATTTTGTTGCTCTGTTAATGTATTTATTATTTATAATGTGTTTTTGGAATTATTTGCACAGAGAAGACAATGGGGACGTTCCTACTCCAGGTTTCAGCGGTGGCGGGACCACCACGGGCACCACCAACACAGGAACGGCGGGTTCCACTGGGGGTGACGCAGACTACTTCGGAATGATATTCGGGAGCGGCGGCGCTCCACCGCCCACTTCTTCTCTTAGCTCAATAATTTTGTCTATCTTAATTATTTTAATATTGCACACTTGCAACCTCGGTGCCATATTATCCTTTCCATTATTGTCGTCGTTATAGAAGTTGAAGAAATTTAAAAAGGAAATATTCTTCAAATTAAGAAAGTTAAGATGTAAAAAAGGTGGTAAAAGAAGAATGAAAAAACCGAAAAAAAGAAAAAGAAAAAGAAATTTCACAATTTTGCTTGGTCTCAAGTGCGTCTTTTTTATTTTTTTTTAAAAATATTTATTATTATAATTTCCATTGAAATTCAAACTTGAGAACCAGACATTGTAGATAAATATTATTGCTTATTCAATTGTTGCAATTATAGTTTAATATGTAACAAAAATTATTTAAAAAGGAATTATTAAGATGGGGTACGGGAGGGTGGGTGAGGTGGCATTTTGATATCCACGTCAACTACTACAAAATACATGTATTTTATTTTATTTTATTTTATTTATAAAGAAAGAAAGTATTGTATTTGTTGTCAAAATAATTTAGCAAGTGCAGTGGGTAGTGTTATTTTCATGAAATAATAATGGAGTTGAACATGGGTTGTCTCATTGTCGTTGAAATTGCCAAACCGTCTTTTATATATTTTATTGCTTTTATCAACAGAATCTGTTAGTTAGTATATTGCATAACATATAAAGATTTTTAATGGGTAATATTGGTTGGTCACAACTTATAACAGCAATGCTGTTTATGTTTTAATATAAGTTCATAAATAACATTTTTTTATATAATTAATAATAAATAATCTTTGCACTGTATTATTGCACTCAAAGTAACTATATAAGAAATATGTATTATGAAAATTCTAATTAGGGAAAGAAAATTTCAGGTTCCTAAACTAAAGCGAAACTATCATATAAATTTTATTATTTTAAAAATTTAACTGGGAGACTCTAAATTATAATCAAATTAAACCCTCTGTCTTAAAATTTTATCATTTATCCGTCAAATCTCATGGAAAAGACGAAAATAACTTTTTTAAATAAAATTTTGAGTATTTAAATTTCAGTGAAACTAATATATAGGTCCCTAAATTATGTTTCTATTTCAAAATAAAGCTGCTTAATTGATAGACTTTCAGCGGAAGGACTCATGTGTCTTTTTTTTTTTTTTTGGAATTTTGGAGTATTTAAATTTCAGTGAAACAAATATATAGGTCCCTAAATTATGTTTTTCTATTTCAAAATAAAGCTGCTTAATTGATAGACTTTTCAGCGGAAGGACTCAATGTGTCTTTTTTTTTTTTTTTTGGTAATAATCAGTTGTAATTATCTTTTTTTTTTTTTTTTGGTATAATCAGTTGTAATTATCTCGGATTATAGTGTCGCTTCTCTCAGCAAAGTCCGCTTTTTTGGTATTAAATTTATATTTTATAATTTTACAGAGATTGAAATCGCTTATAACTCTTGATTGTTCATCTCCTTTTCTAATTTTGTTAATGTCGTCGATAAGGTTTTGAAACTGTGCAAATTGTTTTACTTCACTTCTGTTGCACATATTTGGACCGCGGTATGTTGCAGTTGACTTTTCCAGGTGACATAGCAACCTAATTTTTTAGATTTTCGTTTCCGATTTGCCATTTGGGAATTGAAATAGAATAACTAACGAAAGCAGTTTATGTGATTTTTCCAAAATAGATGCAGCTTCTGAATAAGTTCAAACTGGGCCTCTTACTCCCTACGAAGAGTTTTGGCTCCAAAAGATGGTTGTAAAGATATTTCTAGACGTGAAAGATTGAAAAGGAAGCTTCTGGATCCAATAATAATCGGAGAGAAAGGGTCCTCTTGCGGTGATATATCATTTTTGTCATGTATGTAAATAACCATTCTGGTTCTATGTACTGTGAAGTATAATTTTGAAGGCTTTACCAATATAAATGAGTTCATGATTAGCTTTTCTTTTATGGAGCTTATTCCTTTCCATGTATTGTTTTTATTTTATAATGCATCGTATCGATGGTGATACATTGTTCACAATTATTGTGCATTGCTCCCCAGCATTTTTTTTTATTTTTAGGGTTCATTATAATTTAATGCCTCAATTTCGAAAATCTTCTATTTTAATATCTTAATGGAAATCGTTTTACAATCAGATGTTTAAATTTTATAAAAACTTTTAATCGGGTATCTCTCACTTACATGGCAAGTTAGAAATATAAATAAAATAGAGATGTTATGTCACGATGGATTTTTTTAGCTGATATGGATATGAATACTGATATGAATATTATACCACCACCATAAATAAAAATTAATTACTTTCATTGCATCCACATCATTAGTTCATCAAAAATAAATATTCAACATCACCTTCTTTCACTCTCATTCTTTCCTTCATTTTTCTCTCTTTCCTCTGTCACTACTCTCTCTCTCTCTCTCTCTCTCTCTCTGCTATAGCTAGTGGCGGATTTAGAAATTTCTTTTTCCAAGTTAATATATAATTTTTTCAAAAAAGATAGGTCAAAAACATAAATAAATTAAAATTTATGGGTTAATTTAGATTTAAATAAAAATTAATATAACCTATCAAAATTAAAGTTACCTTTATTTTTTTCAATCAATAAAATTAAATACTTCAAGATATTATATTTTTACAATATAATATCTTACTTTATCCAATATAATTCAGATTTAAAATAGAAAATTAATATAATCAATCAAAATTAAATTACAATTAAATTTTCAACCAATAAAATTAAAATTTTTAATAATATTTTTGTCATTATATAAACTTCTAGGGGCATTTTATATTTTTGTCATTATATAAATTTAGTAGGAGCGTTTTTAGCGATCTAATGTTCCCCTCTCCATTCATATTTGAAACGTGTATTGCACATTGTTTGTATTTACTGTTCAATAAGAAGTTATTTTATGCATTTATTAATTTTTTTTCTTTTGAAGTAATGTATTTTATTAACTTTTTATGAGCATAATAGTAGGGCTCGCGATATTTATATTTTTAATATTAAGTATTCCTAATTCAGTTAATATATATAACCTTGTATTTTAATATTAAGATTCTTAATTGAGTTAAAATATTTCTGATGGGGCTAAAAAATATTTTTATTTTTTAGTGTTCTACAGAATATTTGGACCATGAAAATATTTTTCAAATTTAAAATTTACTCTTTTTTATGTTTATTCTTTATTGTAACCAAAAAAAAAAAAAATCATTGTTTAAATTAAATTGCTAAATATAACATATTTAAAATAGTAAAATTTTATAAAATTTGACAACAAAGTTTTCATCAGTATAAAATAACCCATCAACTGATTTTAATTTTCTTGAAGGAGAAGCTATTTATAAACTTACCCATCATCAGGCTAAAAAAACTATTGTCTTCAACACTATATTAATTCGCAATGAGGTTCTCTGTGAGATTAGCTAGCTCTATCTCTAAATTAGCTTCTATAGATTCGATACTTATTGAGAGCTCAGTCATAACAATCCCTTCCACAATATTAGCAACTCTAGTCTTTGTTTCTTCTGGTCTCAGTCATAAGAATATTGGTTGCGTTTCTGTTATATTCAGTTAGTTTCATACATGATTAGTTGCACTAAAAAGATGGTAAAAATTTCATACTCATTCATTTTTATCTCTAAGTTTCTCTGTGACATCAAATTATGTAATTTGATGACACAATAAACAGCATTAAAACCCTTCACAGAAAAAAATTATAAAACCTATATAGAAAAGAAAACCATTTCTCTAAACTCAATAGACTAATTCAGAGACTAACATTGTTTTATTGCATAACCATAACTAATGCTACTAACCTCTTATTATTACTACTTTTCTTTTTCGCTGAACAACTTTCCGTTGTTCAATTAGAACTCTAGAATGAGAACTCACATGATAAAGCATGAATTAGGATTTTCATCACTAAACTGGCCTTCATGTTCAAATCTTTCTTGAGGTTGATGTCCATGTGCATATCCATATCCATGTCCATTATGATATAGAGGCTGCCTATACTCGCTGTAACCAGAAGAAGACCCAAACTGAGGTTCTTGTATGTTGTTTCCACCGTAACTTGGAGGCACTCCATATGGTCCTTGTACAATGTGTCCACCATAACTTGGAGGTGGCGCATATGGTCCTTGTACAATGTGTCCACCATAACTTGGAGGTGGCGCATATGGTCCTTGTACAATGTGTCCACCATAACTTGGAGGTGGCGCACATATGGTCCTTGTACAATGTGTCCACCATAACTTGGAGGTGGCGCATATGGTCCTTGTACAATGTGTCCACCATAACTTGGAGGTGGCGCATATGGTTCTTGCACATGTGGTCTAGGTCCACCGTTTCCATGAGCGGCCCCTCTTAACGGGATTTGTCCATGATGAAGAACAGGTCCAGCTGCCAGATGATGAGGGAGAGATCTAGCCGCAGACACGTTTCGAGGCATAGGGTGCTGAGCCTGAGCTCCAGCAGCTTCAGGATGCTGAGGGACAGGTCCAGCTTCAGGACTAGTTTGAACCAACGGGATCTGTCCGTGATGAAGAACAGGTCCAGCTGCCAGATGATGAGGGAGAGATCTAGCTGCAGACACGTTTTGAGGCATAGGGTGCTGAGCCTGAGCTCCAGCAGCTTCAGGATGCTGAGGGACAGGTCCAGCTTCAGGACTAGGTTGAACCGCAATGTTTTGTGGCACCCCCGCCATTCCAGTGGAGTAGGTAGCAGCATCATTTAGGTCTAGAACAGACACTTCAGGCCCTTTCAACTTTTTCAAGGCTTCCAAGACTTGGTCTTTTATTTCTTCGTTGAGTTTGCCTGTAATTTTCACACTGCCTGAATCTATTTTATAATCTTCAATCCCTGAAACATTCCCATTACTGTAATTAGGCTCTTGAACAATTTTTTATTCACTTTTCTATAATAAATTAGTGATTAAGTAAGTAATTAACTTGAACCAAAATAAAAAAAGTTATACCTTTAATCTTCTTCAGAACTTTTTTAATTTTCCTCTTGCATCCTAGGCAATCGCAGGACTTGTTGCTGAAATAAAAATGCACCGTTGCCATTTGGGACTTCTCATATTATGAAAAGGAAAAAACATGTAAATATAGTTAGTGAATGAAAAAATAGCTGTTTAGACAGAAAAAGATTGAAAAATAAGGGAAAGAAAGCTTTTAATTAGTACCACCGTTATAAACAGTTGAACGAGGAATGAATTTTCTCAGTGCCTGTTTCCATTCTCTCACAAATTACACGCACATATATATATAGTGGAAGCTGTATACTGTAACTAATTAAGAATTATTAGTAGAATGACATTTCTATTTATCACACTCTGTGAATTCTACAATTTAGGAAATAGGTATATTCTTATTTAGGAAGAAAACAAGTGATTTTTCCTATTTTCCTATTTTGTATTGTACGAGGAATCATTACTTCCTTCATGCAATGTAATAAATGTTCCCATATAGATAGGGAGTCCTCTTTAGTGTACAAGAAATAAAGAATCCGGCTTTTCTTTTCTAAATGGATCGTCGAAACATTATACATACTGTATATTATATGATTATATTGGAATTTTTTTTTCCCTTCCAAATAGAGAAGACAGAGGGTAAGTTTATTTTACATAAAGTATTGTGTTTATGGTACATTATGGATATTTGGAGACTCCTTCACCCATTTTAAATTCGAATATCACCGGAGGGATTTATGTGCAAGGAAAAAGTTCATTGTGACTTGTGAGTACTCATGTAATTTTTCACTATTGCTCCTTCAATCTGAGACCAAACCTGAGTTTTCAATACTTACTTTGTAATCTAAAATCTATTAAAAACACTTGTTTATTCGTTTAGTTTGCCTTAATTGACAACAATATTCCTTGTATAAAATTATGACCACATTATTATTTTTTTTTTTTTCAAAATAGTAATTTTTTCATCAAGTTTCTTGCACGTTCAGGAACAAAAAGTGACCTAGTCCATTTCACAAGACTTTGTCAAGAAATTTATCATCCCTAAAACTTGTCAAAAAGAAGCCAAGAAATTTAGAAACTGATCCCAGCCTCGCATATGTGCAGAAAAGCCATCACACTACCATTCGACAGAACTTAGGACAGCAAATAATCACTCAGAGTAGCACATTTTTGTCCAAGAAGTGCTGCATGGTTCATAAATGCTCGGTAGTATAAATTCAACGATAACATACTGAAATATCGAAAGTTGAGCATTGCTTGTACAAATGCCAAAAATAGTCTACTAAATGTATGTTTTAACCATGCACGTACAGTCTTAAAACCCTGAACTCCATCCTCAGACAAGATCTGCATATGTATAAAAAGGTCCAAAATGTGTGAGTAAAAGACTAGTGCATTGTTCACAAGAACATACTGTCTCAGACACTATTGTGCAAAAACAAAAGTAAAGAAATATATACAGATCCCCAAACCTTCAGCGCCCTAAGATGAGTGACATGACTTAATTTAGTGGACTGCTTACCATCCACCTTTGCTACTTCCACTGTCTCCCTTGTTCGCCCCCCAAGAGCTTGCAGATGCTTTACCCCATGAATCAGTGGATTCCCCACCCACATTACTTCCTTCTTTTAATTGATTCCAACCAGATGATTGATCCCCGCTAGACTCATTCCAAGTCTTAGCCTGATCTCCATTTGTGACCGCATCTCCCAAACCAGCACCTTTGCTCCAACCTGAAACCTGTTCTTTGTTCCAGCCACCACCACCAGTAGAACCAGTTTCTTTGTTCCAGCCGCCGCCGCCACTGCCACCGCCGCCGCCTTCAGCACTAGAGCCCTGTTCTTTGTTCCAGGCTCCACCACCACCTTGAGCACCAGAACTCTGTTCTTTGTTCCAGCCACCACCTTCAGAGGAAGAACCCGATTCCTTTTTCCAGCCACCACCTTGAGAAGAACCAGGTTCTTTTTTCCAGCCACCACCAGAATCCTCAGAAACTTTTTCTTCCTGGTTTGATTGGTTCCAGCTTGAACCCTGGCTACTCCAACCACCAGCTTGATTTTTAGCTCCACTATTTCCAGAATTCCAACTCTGCAATTGCTCCTTATCCTTATCAGCACCTCCTTGGTTCCAACTGCCTCCATTGCTACTTTTCCAGCCTCCACTGTTATTATTTGCCCCGCTCTTCCAGTCAAAGGCCTTGTCTCCACCAGAGTCATTGTTGTCATTCCAACCACCACCACCATAATCCCTCCTTCCACCGCCTCTACCACCATATCCTCCTCTATCCCCTCTACCTCTAAAGCCTCCTCTGTCAGAACCACCCCTACCACCAAATCCCCCTCTATCAGATCTGCATCTGCCCCCATAGCCTCCTCTGTCTGAACCATTTCTACCTCCAAAACCTCCCCTCTCCCCTCTACCTCTAAAACCCCCTCTGTCAGAACCACCTCTTCCTCCATAACCACCCCTCCAATTCCCACCATCTGCTCTACTTTCAGTTTGGTCCCCATTGTCTCCAGAGTTCCAACTGCTTTTCTTACCCCAACCAGAAGAATCCTGGCTTGCATCAGCAGATCCAGAGTTCCAGTTGCCTTTCTTGCCCCAACCAGAATCCTGATTCACATTTACATCACTGGAACCAGAGTTCCAATTGCTTGTCTTGCCCCAACCAGAATTCTGATCCCCATCTGCATCATTTGATCCGGAGTTCCAACTGCTTTTCTTGCCCCAACCAGAGTCCTGATTCCCATCAGCATCATTCGATCCAGAGTTCCAGGTGCTTTTCCTGCCCCATGATGACCCTCCATTTCCACCCGAATCTCCCAATCCGGAGTTCCAGCCGCTCTTTTTTCCCCAATCTGAATCATTATTTTTATCTGCACAGAAATCCAAGATTTCTTCTTAGGTCCATTTTAATAATATCTTAAATAGCTGATGAGAGTTTGATATATTTATTTTATATGAAGTCACAATAATGTTTCACAGACAAATAAATATTTACAATATTTTGTATGACAACATTTAAGATGTAACTTAATCAAACTATATAATTTTTTATAATAGGTAGGAAGTCAGTTCTGATCAGAATCAATATACCCACCTGTGTCATTTGACCCACTTCCCCAGCTAGCACTTTGACCCCATCCCTTTGTTGATCCTCCATCCAAAGATTTCCCATCGTTTTTGCTGCCCCAGCCAGAGGGCTGGTTAGCATCCACATTACCATCTTTATTACCCCAGCTTGAAGAATTGGAAGCTTTGGGAGCACCCCAGTTAGATTGCTCTGCACCACCTTCCCCAGTTGTTCCGCTTGTCCAACCTGCAGAACTGTCACCTGCAGAAGCTTTTCCCATGTTCGTTTTGCTGCCTCGAGTCCAATCTGAAGACCAGTTCCCACCAGCTGATTGATTAGCAGCAAAACCTTTATCCCTATCCTGACATTCACCATGGTCATTACCCCAACTCGATTTCTTGTCCGAAGAGGGTTTGTCCCCACTTTCACCTCCCTCTTTATCTGCTCCATGGCTTCTGTTCCATCCTGCTCCATTATCCCCCCAAGAAGAATCTGTTTTCTTCTGTACTTCTTCTCTAGACTTACCCCAACTGCCACCTTGATCATTGCTCCAAGCAGGTGGGTTCCTTGTAGAGATTTCATCACCACTCCAGTTGTTTTGTTCGCCTCCTCTATTCCATCCTGAAGACCAACCTCCTGATCGTCCGCTGCCAAATTGATCTATACCTCCTCGACCCCCTCCTCTTCCTCTCCTCCCACCTGACCCACGACCTCCATCAAATGATTTGTTCCAACCACCAAAATCTTGACTTCTATCCTGTTTGTTAAAAGATTCGCCTCCCTCATGTTTATTCCAAGAGGATCCCCCATCTTGTTTACTCCAGGAAGACCCTCCCTCTTGTTTACCCCAAGTGGATTCCTCCTGCTTATTCCAAGAACCCCCACCTTGTTTACTGCATGTAGACCCTCCCTCTTGTTTACCCCAAGAGGATTCCTCCGGCTTATTCCAAGAAGATCCCCCATCTTTTTTACTCCATGTAGACCCTCCCTCTAGTTTACCACGGGTGGAATCCTCTGGCTTATTCCAAGAAGATCCTCCCTCTTGTTTAGCCCAATTGGATTCCTCCGGCTTATTCCAAGAACCCCCACCTTGTTTACTCCATGTAGACCCTCTCTCTTGTTCACTCCTAGAGGATTCCTCCGGCTTATTCCAGGAAGACCCCCCATCTTGTTTATTCCATGTAAAGCCTCCCTCTAGTTTACCCCAAGTGGATTCCTCTGGTTTATTCGAAGAAGATCCCCCACCCTGTTTACTCCAAGCAGAACCTCCCTCTTTTTTACCATCAACTTTGGCCTTCTTCCAGCCACTAGCTTCATCATTATTTTCTGATTCTTTTTGGGCCCAGCTACCACCAGCATTACCACAATCCTCAGTTGGCATTTCAGCTGCAGGAGTTGAACTTTTCCACTCTGATTTACTTCCACTTGAACTGTTTTTTTTATCCCAATTCGTTGTAACTTTACCCCAAGGATCTCCTTGAACAGTATCTTCTTTTCGGGCTTCAGCAATACTTCCCCAAGCAGACTCTTTGCTCTGAGATTTCTGTTGATTCCATTCAGTACCCCTATTCAAGTTGTCCTCGCCTGGAGCAGAGCTTTTACTCTTCTCCCAGGATCCCGATTCCGCTACATCTTTACCACCGCCCCAAGCACCCAGCTTATTCTTCCCACTAGCCACATCTCCCCAACTGCTGGTTGGATTTCCAATAACAGTTTTTGGCTTATTCCAAGCAGCTGCAGCATCAGTTGTAGAATTTCCACTATCAAATTTTGCTTGACCCCAGCCAACAGAATCAGCACCGTTGGACCCTATATTTGTTGCAGGTTTGTTCCAACAATCCTCACTCTTCCCCCAACCTTGTGCTTCATCATTGTTAGCAGCAGCTTTGCCATCAACTGCAACCACTCCCCATGATGAATTCTGATCTGAAGTTACCTTCCTCTCCCAAGAAGCATCTACTGCATCCAGACATTAACAATCATTGACAACAAGCATGCTTACATGAAATGAAGATTTGACTATATACCTTCCTTGCTATCATTACCTGCAGATCCCGATGAATTTGCAAGACTGGATTCAGGTTGAAGCTGCAATAATCACAAAAGACATAAACATTACTAAGACGAAGAGTGGCAGTTGTGGCAGCACAGTGTGTTTGTGTCCCACAAAAAAGTACTTAAAAGATGATTCAGGGGAAACCTTGAAGCTAGGCCAAGAGCTCCTGCAAGGAAGAGTTTATTGATATCAGATCAGAGAAAATAGCATACCAAGAAGATGAGGAAACAAATAAAGCCTTCAAGTAGTAGTACATACGACGCATAATATTGGAGAGCTATAAGACACGTGATTACACCATGAAAAGAAATCCACAAGGAACTGGTGAAAGACAACAATTGCTTCATTTCATTGACTCGGTTTCAAAGCAATTTCCAGAACAAAAACTCAAAAAAGCCATATAACACTAGTTGCAAACTTTAACTGCAACATTCATTTGCAACAGAAAAGCCATAATAAAAAATGCAGATTCGCCTGCCAAACCACAATGTAGAACTCTTAAAAATCAGAATTGAAATTTCAACACAATTAGATTGTTTTCTTCTTATATTATAGTAAACCGACAAGCAGACCTTGACCTTGAAGACCTTCACAATTCATCACCATGTGTGCTAAGAACATTATGTTCCTTGCGCAATTTCATATTGAAACCAACGAATTACTTAATGGATTTATTTCTTAAACAAAGCAACAGCAACTCGGCATCATTTCACCAGATATCATACGGAAATCCAGTACAATACATCACAAACTTTTGCCCATGCATCAAGTGAGATACATAACAGAAGCCAACCAACAACTTGGAAAATCACACAAAACATGAAGAGATTACATAAACCAACAAGAAATTACAAATGATAAAAGGAAAAAAATAGTTCTCGTCTTAACTTTTAACTAATTAAGAATCAATAATGAAAAACCAACTAATTTAAAGCAAACATAAAAAGAAAATTCACAAGCAATATGTTAACCAAGATTTTACCCTTCAGTAGGGACAACTCCTGTATTCCAGCCCCCACCATCAGCTGATGTTCCTGCTCCATTCGTCCAACCTTCCAATGACATAAATTTAGGTGAGAAAGACAAACATTGAAAGAATCATATCAGATTTTCATAGGCCAAACAAATAGAAACATAAAGACACTAAGAATGGCAGGCCCATTAAAAAAGAAACAGATCATGAATAAATTGTCACATATACTTAACTTAACTAAAACTCTGTTTCTCAAGTATTTCATAATTTAAGACTGATAGAACTCCCACCTGTAGAGCCACCTCCTGTTCCAAGCAGATCAAGTTTGAAATTGTTGGATCCTGGATCCTCACTTTTAAAAGAAGAAAAGGCCCAAAGTCAGCAAGTTGCAAAAGCTAGACAAATCATACATGTGAAACGTGCTGAAATAATAATTGCAGTCACAAAAACATCCACCTTGCAGGCATAGTAGAGCTCTTCCCACGAACCTCAGAGAGATGCTCACGTTTTACTACAGGAACATCAATAAACCAAAACTGTTACAAAACTTGATAGATCCAGACCAAACTAAACCATGAGCCAATATTGGTAAACAGACCTGTAAGAACTTTCTGCTGAGAATCAAGCTTAACAGTAACATCAGAATAACGTATGGCCAAGACACGGCAGAGGTACCCCTTCAAAGGCCCTACTCGGATTCTCAAGGTCTGGCCAATGGAGAACATTCCATCCTTATCTCCCTGATTGACTGCAATTCAAATAGCAAAATCAGAGGTAAGGAATCAACAGTCGAATCCAAGGTGAATGCACTGAACAACATTGACCACATACAATCTCGATTACTTTCCCTTGTTTGCCATGGTCTTTTAGGTGAAAGAGGGGATTTGGGAGATGACGGGAAATCTTCAAAGCCTAGGGTGCCTTCGCCATCCTGAGAAAAGGAGAAAAAGATCACCATTCAGAAGATTAGACGCCAATATTAGATAAAGGCAAGGGCAAAGGGAAACCGCTGGTCTTTCAAACTCTAAACCTTTTCACAACAGTCGTCAAAAGAAAGCTTGACTTTCTCGCACATTTGAGCTTTAGAACAGAAATAACCACCATTATTTTCGGTATCATTCTGATCATATATAAAAACAACTCCTCTGTATATTTGTTTAACAATTCCTTGCCTATCCTGAAGAGAGGACAAAAATTGTGAGATAGACAAGCAGACATGCATTCCATATAATTCTTACTTGACCACATTCAAAAAGAACAATCAGTGCCAAACCTTTAATGGACCTTCCAACACCCTGACAGTATCATTGATTGATATAGTTTTTGTATTGTGATCCAAAGCAGTAAATTTCATATCAGAGGGTCCATTTTTTAACTCATGCTGCCCAATGCTCACCACAATCGGCGCCTCTGGTCCATCTTTTAGAATCTAAGAATTGAAAAAGAAAAATTCAAAAATGACCAAGAGTAAGTTTAGCAGAGTATTAATCCCTAATCTAAAACATCGACTAACAATGAAGCAGCCAACAACGTAATTACAAAGTATAAAGTAGGCTTCATACCTTGTAATAGTCACCCTTCTCCATGCCTACAATAAGACCAAAATCTTTGCGGCTGCAATGGAACATAATGTCAATGAATAGGAGAGTTTTATACAAAATCAATTGACACAGGATCAACTCGTGCAAACTCACCCAAAACACACAAGATCATACAGTCCAAAACCACCAGACCCTGATGAGCTTTCTCCTTTCTCACCACCTTTTTCATTTCCAATTACTCGTTTTTTCTTTGGTGTACCATAAAGCTGTTTAAGCCACTCTGAATTATCAGAATTATTATTCTCAGCAGGCTGGAACTTCAACAGTTCCTCTTCTGATGGCATAACACCCCAGCAGCTTAATGAATCTACAGAAACTTTTTTATACAAATAGCCATCCTTCAGCAATAGACCATCAAGAACCTCAAACATCTTGCCTGTATCACGGTCACGCCTATATTGCACAAGGGGCCGGAACTCCCTACACAAATAAAAATGTATGAAGCCCATCAGACTTTAATCCAGATGACTTGAAATTAAGATTTGACAATGCATAGATTACTCTAGTTCACTTGAGCTGATCAATCTTGGAGCAGGTACAGCAGCATTCTTCATAGAGACTCCTCCGCCCTGTAAAATTAAATAGATGAAACCAAGGAGCGGAATTGTTGTAGCATAGGAAACGTCTCTTTTAGACCACAAATGAACTGCCACAAGTTGCATACAAAAATTTCTCCAACCAAAGCATAGTTTTCAACTGTTATATGCCTATATTAAACTCCATAAAGTTATATGATAATGTCTTCCTAACAACAATGGTGATTTTGAATAAACCAAGTCTTCTGAACAAGCCCTGGCATATTGGCTTCAAACGATTATTACTAGATAAATGAAGGAAAAGAACTAAAATTTTTCACGCATACTACACACCATAGTGTCAGAACCTCCTAACAAAATATAAAAATCATCTTGTTTTAAGAAGAAAATCAACTCAAATTAGACCAGCTGATTGGATAAATTTATCCATTTGCTCCATCCTGTTTCACAAAGAACGTGCCCTTTTGATTATTTATTATGAAGAAAAAAGAGCAGAAGAATATTTTTCTAGAACATGTTAATTATAGCAACTTGTCAACAGAAGTTCCGAAGCTGTCAAAAATCAAGACATTTCTACCTAGTGATAGGTTAAAATGAAGGAAACCCCATCGATAATAAGAGATCCATAACTAAATCAAGATGATTGAAACGATATATTTGATCCAGGGACAATTAAACAAGTTAGTAATTCAATGTTTACATAATTGAGATTGTTGCAAGATACTCGTCCATGTTGTCATACAAACAACACAAAAGTTGAAAGAGTTTCCACAATTATTGAGGACATAAAGGGAATAAATTAGGCACGTACGTAACCAGTGGTTCAAAATTTTTAAAATGTTGAACCTAAATTGGCAATTGAATCATTGGTTCCCGTCCGGTTTCGATTCCAGCTGGTCCTAGCTAGGTTCCAATGAACCAACAGTTCCGATTACGGTTTCTTACCATGTGTATTATTTTTTTTCCAAAAAAAAAAAAAAAAAAAAAAAAAATTTCGATTCCAGCTGGTCCTTTAGCTAGGTTCCAATGAACCAACAGTTTTCCGATTACGGTTTCTTACCATTGTGTTATTATTTTTTTTCCAAAAAAAAAAAAAAAAAAAAAAAAAGATTCTTAAGCTAAAAGTCTTTCTTTTTTAAAAAAAAAAAAAAAAAAAAAAAAAAGATTCTAAGCTTAAGTCTTTCTTTTGAAAAAATTAATGTGAATTTAAAAGAATATTGATAAATTTTATTTGAAATAACTTTTAGAATGCTCATACTCACAAAGAAGTAAAATTAATTAATTTTACAAAATAGTCAGATAAATTATCATTTTATTTTGTCTAAATATTATTAATTAAATAAATTGTTAGAAAAAAAATGAAAAATGCTTCAAACAATGTAATTTTGAGCTAAGCAAAAATTTTAAAAGGAAACAAACATTAAACTCGCATTTGTATCAAACAATATAATTTTAGACTAAATATTTCACTTTTTTTTTTTACCATTTTACATTTTTAAATTTTATCTTTTTAAGTAAAGTGTATTTTCAAAAAAAAAAAAAAAATTCAGTAAAGTGTATCATGAAACTTTAGATCTAACGTCCCTAGCTGCAAGCTTAGCACAACAATCAAATAAAAACCTAAAGAGTCAATGACAATCTGAGATTAAGATTTACATGTTAATCTCACTTGCTTAATCTTCCAAACTTGGCATTATATCAGATAAAGCACATGGCCTCAGCAGCTTTTTAGACTTTTAGCACACTGTTCAACATTTGGAATGACTATCCAAGAACTCCTAATCTTTATTTCGCTTTTCTAATTAAGAACACGAATGTTTTCTCATAATAGAAGCCACTTTCTATGACCCTATATGAATCCTTTTTCACCAGATTATTCCAACTAGAAACTAGAATTGCCCTAATGAACACAACCTGCATCAGATGGTGTCTAAGAGAATGCCAGGTCAACCTAAACATAGGAGGAGGCAAGCTTGGGCAAATACAACATGAATGAAGGAAAATTTGATGGGTAAAAGTAATTGTTGAAATCTTTGTGATTAAAGTAAATATTGTGTTTCCTAGTTTAGGTTTATTCCTATTTAGATCACTTCCTATATTGGAACAATTTTTTGTATCAATTTTTTGTATCTATATAGTGGAAGTAGAGCGTTGAAAAGATACACAATTATGAAAGAAATAATATATATTCTTTCCTTAATTTCTTCATGCGTATCAGAGCCCATTGCCATGAATTTCGGCAACAGTTCAAATTTGAAAAGTGGTCTGTGAGATATATGCACAGTAGGCAATAAGTACCCCAGGAGTGAGAGTTTGGTCGTCACCGCCCGCTCAGATTTGAAGAGCGACCTCCGCCCGACACTTATTGTGCACCTCCAGATCTCCAACCGCGATCATCGCCGTCCCCACCATGAGCGGCGTCTGTGCACACGCACCTTCCAAAAGATTTCTAGCCGTTCTTCACGGCGCCTCGGCGTGCAGCTGTCGGACGAAGCTCCGTCGACCAAATTCTGTCCTCCGTCGAACTCTCGACTAGGCGTGTGGTGACTTAGGGACCTACTGGTTCTTTTAGCACTAAGTTTTGCCTTTTGGGAGATTTTTTTTCCTTTTTTGGTTTATTCCACCACTAACTGCCGTTTTACCACTGCTTGTCCGTTTAAGTTTTTTTTTTTTTTGAAGATATGGAGTGATCAGACAAGAAAGGTTCAGGATTAGATATGGGTTTTTTCACCTCAGAGAGCCCCTCACTTACAGACCTAGTTCGGTGTGAAGTTAGATGAGAACCAAACTACCCGGCATTCGCCGGTCTCGCTCTTGTTTTATTAGTTATTAAGTAAGAGTTTCGAGGGATTACACTTGGATGCGTGAGCAACTAAACGCAGTTTTAGATCCGCGGCCTTTACACAAGCTAGGAAATCCAGAGAATTCTCTATTATGTCTTGGTTAATTTGGTTAATAAATTCCATGCAGCCAACTATTTTCCGAGGATATTTGCTTCTTGATACAGCTAAGAAGATATGGGATGCCGCTTCACAGACATATTCACAACTGTAAACTATGCTCAGAGGTATGAATTGCGACAGAAAGTTCATGAAACCAAGCACAGAGATTTGACTATTGCTCAGTATTTTGCTGAACTAAGTGGGTTATGGCAGGAACTAGATTATTATCAAAACTTTCAAGCAAAATGTACTGATGATGCGACTCAAGTTCAAAAGTTGATTGAAGTAGAACATGTATGATTTTCTAGCTGGCCTAAATAACGAGTATGATCAGATATCAGATTCGAGTCCAAGTTCTTGGACGAGATCATTTTCCATTCTTTACGACAAGGCATACTCATTTGCTTACAGCAAGAGGAGACTAGGAGGGAACGCTATGGTTCACAGCATCTACCAATTGATAAAGCAGGGTTATTGCTACATTGCAGAAACATATCCAGGCTGCAAAGCAGCAGTTTCTTCAGTATAAAGGAGATCAAATTATTTTGTGACTATTTCTGCAGTAAGAATTAGGCACACTAAGGAGTTTCTGCTGAAAATTACAATGGATGCCCAACTAAAGGGCAGAGGGGCAAGCGAATCAGTTCTTCTAGACCACAGCAAGTCATATCATAGATAGTTAGAGCTTTATTTGATGGAAACCATCTACTGCTGGAAGCTTTTTCTGATAAGGATATTACAAGTTCCCCTGAAACAATTGTGTGTCACAGCTTGATTTCGTACCTCAAACTCCAGACTGCAAGCCTCTAATTTTTGTTAATTCGGGTAATGCTTTTGCTTACTTCTTGCAAAAATTAGCAAAACCCCCTTGGGTTATTTAGATTCAGGAGCAAATAAACCATACAAACAGGCTTCTATAAAACATTTCCTCAATATTTCTAAGTATCAAGGCACAGAGAAAATTCGCATTGCGAATGGTCTCCTTAGTACCGATTGCTGGCAACAGGTTTCTATTGACTGTACCTCCAAATAATTTAAACTCTCCCCTGTTCTTCATGTTCCTAGATTTTGCCCTATTAATGTTATCTGTTAGTCTTAATTCACAAATAGCACTTAATTTACAAAGTAGACTTTTTACCCTACTCATTGTATCTATTTCAGGGAAACTGAACACAAAGGAAGAATGATTGGCAATCGGTAACTTGCGCGATGGAACTATTATCTGTTGGATGACGTTTGTCGTTTTCAAATTCAGGCCTAACCTCAGTTAATCATGATAGGAATAACACAAAAATAAATAGCTTTGTTAGGAACTTTTAGAAATTCCTTTTTCCCATGAAGTTATTTCAATCGGCCATAGGAGATTAGGGGACATTCTCTTCTTTTTTTTTGTTTTAGGACGTTTATTTTCCCACTTTGTTTTGCTAAAATGTGATTTTAATCATTAGTATGTGATCTTGTGAACTTGCCAAAACCACATCAGGCATATATATTTTCCAATTAAGATAAAAATTTGATTCATTTTGGCTTTACTATTCATTCTCTAATATTAAGAAGTCTTTGGGCGGTCCATACTAAAACTCCCTCTTCTTTCTGGTTTATAGATGGTTGTGCTTTCTGGTTATAGATGGTTTGTGACCTTTATTGATTGTTGCACTAGATTGACTTGGGTTTATTTGATGAAAATAAAAAATGAAGTTTTTTCATGTTTTCAGAACTTCTCTAAAATGATTTGTACTTAGTTTGAAGCGCATGTTAAGATCCTAAGAACTGATAATGGTACTGAATAAATGAATGCAAATTTTCGTTCATATTTAGATTCTAATGGTATTATAAATCAAACTAGTTGTGTCAATACTAGTGCTCAAAATGGAGTAGCTGAAAGGAAAAATAGGCATTTACTGGAAGTAGCTAGGATTCTTATGTTCACTATGAATCTTCCCAAACCATATTGCGAATGTATTTTGACATGCTGACTACCTTATCAATCGTACTGTGCTTACCTTATCAATCGTATGCCTCTTTGTACTTTAAATTTTAAAACTCCATTAGAGGTTCTTCAAGGAAAAAACTCTTATGTTGTACCTCCTAAAGTCTTTGGTTGTGTTTGCTTTATTCATCAGAATGGTCTAAGCAAATTAGATCCTAAAGCCTTGAAGTGTGTGTTTGTTATCATCCTTCTTCTAGGAAATACTTTGTGAGTATCGATGTTACCTTTCGGGAGTTTGAATCTTATTTTCCTTCCCAGTCACATCTTCAGGGGGAGAAATATCAGATGGAAGAGGTGATGGATGACATTTCTTTGGGAGGATTCCTGTAGACATAGATAGTAAGAGAGAAAACAACCACCCTAAACCTCTAGGAAAGATTGAATAGACCTGATGGGGAGATTCCTGTAGACATAGATAGTAAGAGAGAACAACCACCCAAACCTCTAGGAAGATTGAATAGACCTGATTTGAAAACCTACACACGGCGGGCTAATACATATACAACCATCGAGCATGAGACCTCTGATCAACCGTCCTTGCCAATTTTAGTCCCTGAAGATATAGAAGAACAAGAACGTGGTGAGTCTTCTTTAATTCCTGTTGATTCTGATCCTAATCTTGATTCCAATCCTTCTGACAATGACCTTGACATTCCTATTGCTCTTAGAAAAGGAGTTAGAAAATGCACTAAAAAACCCATCTCCCATTTTATCTCCTATAATGCTCTGTCCCTTCCTATAGAGCCTTTGTTTTGTCTGTTTATTCTGTTTCTATACCGCAGGATTAGCAAGAGGCATTACAGGACTCAAAATGGAAGGCTGCAATGATTGAGGAGATGAGAGCTTTGGCAAAAAATAAGACATGGGATCTTGTAACTCCTCCACCAAGAAAGAAGCCAGTTGGATGTAAATGGGTGTTCACAGTTAAACATAGGGCAGATAGTTCAATTGAGAGGTACAAGGCTAGATTGGTAGCTAGAGGATTCAGTCAGACCTATGGAGTTGATTATCAGGAAACATGTGCCCCTGTAGCCAAGATGAACACAATCAGAATTTTGTTGTCATCAATCTGACTGGGAGTTACATCTGGGAGTTACATTAATTTGATGTTAAAAATGCTTTTCTACATGGTGATTTGAAAGAAGAGGTGTATATGGAGATTCCTCCTAGATTTGATGATGACAAAAACAGAGGAAAAGTTTACAAGCTGAAGAAGTCATCATATGGGCTGAAAAAATCACCAAGAGCATGGTTTGAAAGATTTAGTAAAGCTATGCTTTCTTTTGGGTATATTCAGAGCGATGCTGATCATACTTTGTTCATTAAACATCATGAAGGTCAGATCACATTGCTTATTGTTTATGTTGATGATATAGTGATGACTAGAAATAATGAAGAAGAAATGACTCACTTGAGAAATTTGTAAGCCGGGGAGTTTGAGATTAAGGATTTGGGAAAGTTGAGATATTTCCTTGGGATAAAAGTTGCTAGGTCAGAAAAAGGGATTTTTATTTCTCAGAGAAAGGTTGCTAGGTCAGAAAAAGGGATTTTTATTTCTCAGAGAAAGTACATCTTTGATCTCCTTAAAGAAACTGGTATGTTGGGATGTAAACGTGCAAAATCACCTATTGAAGCCAATCATAAGCTTCAAGCTGGAGTGGGAAGTTCAGTTGATGTTGGCAGGTATCAGAGATTGTTCAGGAGATTGATTTACCTTGCCCATACTAGACCAAATATTGCCTATGCTATAAGTTTAGTGAGTTAGTACATGCATGACTCTCGGGAGTCTCACTTAGAGGTAGTGCATCAGATTCTAAGATATTTAAAATCAGCTCCAGGTAGAGGACTTTTATTTTCTAAAAATGGCCATTTAACAATAACAGGCTATACATATGCGGATTGGGCTAGTTCCCTTGATGACAAGAAATCAACCTCAGGTTATTGTGTTTTTGTTGGAGGAAACCTCGTCACATGGAGAAGCAAGAGGCAGGTTGTTTTTGCAAGGTCCAGTGCAGAAACTGAATATAGAGCTATGGCAATGGGAATCTATGAACTTCTATGGTTGCGCAAATTGATGGAAGAGTTAAAGTTGGTTGAAACAACAAATATATCCTTGTTTTGTGATAGTAAAGCAGCCATCAGTATTATGACCAATCTAGTCCAACATGATTGAACTAAGCATATAGAGATTGATCGTCACTTTATAAAAGAGAAGATAGTTGAAGGTTTTATAAGTGCCTCCTATATAGCTTCAACAGAGCAACTAGATTATGTTTTCACAAAGGGTTTGCATAGCAAGTTGTTTCATCCTTTAGTTTGCGAGTTGGGCATGAGTAATATCTAGGCACCAACTTGATTTGCATAGCAAGTTGTTTCATCCTTTAGTTTGCGAGTTGGGCATGAGTAATATCTAGGCACCAACTTGAGGGGGAGTGTTGAAATCTTTGTGATTAAAGAAAATATTGTGTTTCCTAGTTTAGGTTTATTTCTAATTAGAGTAAATATTGTGTTTCCTAGTTTAGATTTATTCCTATATAGATTACTTCCTATATTGGAACAATTTTTTGTATATATATATAGTGGAGTAAAGGTTGAAAAAGGTCACACAATAGAAAGAAATACAATATATTCTTTCCTTTAATTTCTTCAGTAAAAAATGTCAATTTGCAACAAGTGGTAAAGTTTTCTATTTTTAGTTTTAGGATGCTCAATGTGCCAAAACCAAAAAAGATATGAACTAATCCAATTTGGAATATTTTATTTGATATGGAACTTAAAAAATAGCCACAATGACACCTCATAACCAACTCTAATGTCTACCTGAAATATTCCACAATGAAGGACTCGGTTGAGATATTCTAGAAAGTACAAGGGCTTACTTAGTTCTTCAGGGGAAAAAAAAAAAAAAAAAAAAAAAAAAAAAAAAAAAGAAGAACTGGAATAATACTCAAAAAAAAAAAAAAAAAAAAAAAAAAAAGAAACTGAATATACTCAATCAAAAAAGTGAGTACTATTCCCATGTAATCATCCACTGGATATTCAGATGGTGCTCATCCATATTGCACCATTGAACTTCCACAATCAAATCAGCTTTAAATGGCAAACTCTAATGCATCATAAAATGAGGAAAGTGTGATCCAAACTGAATTACCAGAGTACCATAAGTAAAGTATTCATCATGAGGAAGCGGGGAAAAGATTCACACCAAACTCATCAATACGCCAAAAGAATCCATTAATTCTTGCAAACAATTTAAATTTGCAACTCCATTTTCACACTGAAAGGATCTTACAAATTTTTGTGCCATTGCTTGCAGGTCAATTCTCGGAATAAGCTTTACTGTTGCTCTTTTCCGTGCATCATTTACAGCAACAACCTACAGAAATAAAATTAGTGAGAGTAAAGATGTATTAAGAACTACCAGAAATCAACCCAGCAGACCAAGGAGCACCTGTACCTGTGCAAGGTCTCCTTTGTATTTCCCATTCTTAATACGGGCCCACATGCCCTCACTAACCACATTGGATTTACCTCGCACAGAGAGCAAATGAGCCACTTCATTTGTTGGCACTGTTGCCACTCTAGTAGAATATATGCTACAAAGCCCTTTACAAGCCTGAAATCATATATGATCAAATCAAAAAGAAATGCTGCTACTATTAATCAATAATGAAACTATTAACTTTGCCCAATATTCAACAATATAAGTTACCTCATTAATATCACATTGCTTGTCAGCTTCAATATAAATAAAACCCTTTACATGGTCAACAGCAAAAACAGAAATTATCTGCAGCTTGGTACCTAGAGATTTCAGATCAACAAACTTCTGCATAAGGCAGAAAGCTGAATGTCGTTCTCGTCCAACCTGCAACCAAGATATTTCAAGTGAAGACCATTACAAGATTATGAATCAAAAAGAGAAGTAAGAAGTGTGATGCAAAATCTGATAGCAAAAATTATTGAATATTTAGCATACGTAATTTGAAAATCATACCATGCATTTGACCTTCCAAATAGTTGGATCCCTAGTGGATGGAAAAAGAGAATTTCTTTCCATTGATTTAGCCTCATAAGCATCTTCAGCATAATTGACGAATCTAGAACCGTCTTTGTAACGTTCTTCCATCATCTTATCAAATTCCTCCTCATCCATGACCTCCTCTTTGGGTATAAATGGGTCGTTTGGGGTTCTTACTGGTTCTTTCTTGACTTTCAGCTCAATATCAAATTCTGCAAATGATTGGAAGATCAATGTCAGCTAGTCATATGGAAGAACATGAAACCAAGATCGTCTCTTATGCAAAGATCTGAATCAAGGTAAGGGGAAAATGACACCAGAAATTGAAAGTTAGCCAAGATCGAGACCTAGGTATCGACGTGCCCTAGTAAGTCACCACTGAAAAAGTAAACACACACCCACTGCACCTTTCATGAACCTTTTTGGGAAGAAAAAAATAAAAACAAAAAAAAAAAAAAAAAAAAAAGAAAAAAATAAAAAAACAAAAAAAAAAAAAAAAAAAATCCCAAAAAAAAAAAAAAAAAAAAAAAAAAAAAAAAAAAAAATCCCAAGTCAAAACCAACAAGTTCATCATAATAATAAAACCTAATCGAGAACTTGAAAGCATCACTGAAATAAAAATATATGTGAAGGATCTCAATAATTATGTGTAACACAAATACCATGCAGTATTCCCAGAAAAGAACTATCGTGTGACACTAGGGCACTAGCTCTGTTAATCATCCATCCATTAGATTTTTTAAAAAAATGGAAGTGTTAAAGTAATTATAAAGAAAAACCGGACTAACAAATAAAATTCTCCTGATATATCATGAATATCAAGCCAAACTTCAGTTGTAAGAATTCAACCATTTTGACAAGAAATTGTCAACTCCAAGATGAACCCTTCAAAGGAGTAGCAAATATGCATGCAAATAAAACTTTGACAGAGCTAACCGGGTGTGGTTTGGTTGGTCTTCTCATTAATGTAAGAAATGAAAGATCTCAAGTTCAAGTTCTCTCGACCACAGGAATTTTTACAAATTTAATGAGTCAAGGGAAGGGCTATTTCTGTTGTATCGTGTTATTTCGGCCTAATGGGCCTATAAATGAATCAAAAAAAAAATTGAAAGAGGTGAAAATATTGATCACTACCAATAAAAATAAACACTTGGCCAACAAAACCTCCACACTACCCTTAATGCATGTATATGTGTATAATGTAAAAAGAAGCACAAGGAACTTCTACAAAGACATGAAAAGGTATAAGGAAGTTCTATAGGATTGGTGAGACCGAAATGCTTTATGGGGGTGAATGGTGGGCACCAAATGCCCAACATGTCCATAAGATGAATGTTGCGGAGATACAGATGCTAAAATGGATGTATGACTACATAAGGTTAGGAATTATCACATTATACAAAAGATGCAAGTAGCAAAAGTTGGAGAAAAAAATGAGAGAAGGACGTCTAAGATAACACAGTCATTTGTGACGTTGACCTCCACATGCCATGGTTCGTAAATGTGATACTTTGGTAGTAGAGGGTGCTAAAAAGGGAAGAGATTGACCAAGAAACATTTGGAGGGAAGTTGTTGCAAATGATCTACCGTCCTTGGATATTAGAGAGGGTAAGCTATGAACAAAATAGAATGGAGACAAAAGATTAAGGTTCATGTAAAAGACCTTAGTTACATTGTTGCTGCTTATGTTATTCTTTGTTCTATTTATTAATATATCCACTGATCCTAAAATTCCCCTTTCCAAATTTTTTCTACAGAAGTATTTCAAATTTTTTTTCCCGATTTATATTTTACTTTCGATTGCTAATAATTTGATCAGTGCAACACCAACTAGAATTAGTTTGGACTATTGCGTTTTACGTCAATATTTATGTATTGACGTAACTAAGTTCAGAGAATAACTTTTTTCCCCAACTTTCTACACTACAAAACCAAAGGAACCAACTATCACTGGTACACTAAAATTTAAATTTACAAGTTTTTCAAAGCTCTCATAACCACCATTTCCAACATTATAGGATAAAATAGCTCAAAAAGGCCTCACAACTTGAGAAACTCGAAGAAAAACCAAAATGCACAGCCAAAATAGAAAAGAAAGAGAAAAAGAAAAACTATTCCATCATTAGATCACTTCCCTCACCTACATTTCACTCAAAAACCCTAATGTGTCAATTAAAAATTAAAATTCGGAAGAAAAAAAATCCACAAAACAAATTCAATTATTACCCACCTCAAAGCCCTAGAAACAGAGAAAAATAGAATGCAAAAACAGATTTTATTTTATTATACCTTCTTCATCAAAATCACAGTTATCGCTTTCGTACTCGTCTTCGTCAATGTCAGCAGCATCTTCGAAGAACTGAAGAACCTCGCGGTTTTTCCTCTTCCGATGACTACCGCCTGGTTTATCTTCCTCAGCACTTCCGCCGCTCTTCCGCTTGCCGCTGCTGCCTCCGGTGGCGACCTCCTTGCCCTTGAATGACATTTCTGGAGTAACAATGTGAAGATTGTGTTTCTGGAAAACAAGAAGACTGAATCCTCCGCCAAAACGTATGCAGAGAGTAGACTGACTCTTTGCAGTGGCCTGTTTGGCCCGTTTCGCGAGATGGTGAGAGACTATTGACACTAATTTTATAATTTCAGGTGGGGCTTTCCTTTTATTTTTATTTTCTTCTACACCCTGAAGTGTTAGCTAATTCACAATTAAGGCTACTTTTTTACCTTTTTTTTTTCTTTTCTTTTCTTTTCAAATTCCAATTTAAATTATTCTCTCACATTAAAATTAAAATATAATATAAGTTTATAACCTTAGCACAATAATTTTCATATATTTCCGGATCAAACACATAATCTGAAGCACATTCAACTTTTTATTTCAAGTTTATTAAATATTTCAATTTATAAAATTATTCTAACTATATATTTTATTTTGTAAATTCATTTTATTCAATTCTTTAATTTATCAAAATTAGACGGATTAAATATTTATTAAATAATTAAAAATAATTCTTTAGATTTATCAAAATTAACGGATTAAATAGTTTATTAAATAATTAAAAAATATAAAAATATTATTTAAAAAAGTTATACTAAATAATTAAAAATATAAAAATTATTATTTAAAAAGTTATACTAATTACATCAAATTAATACTGTCCATATAAATAAATACCAAAAGTCCTAAAAATTATTATTGTGATATGGAGAGGTGTCAAATGCTACAAAAATTCATAACTATAAAAACAAAATAAACTCCCACAAAATTTGAAGTGTGACAAAAAAATTTTGTGAATAATTTATTTATTTGACCTATATTAGGCTTCTCCTTATCTAATGTTAGAGTTATATATCCCATATTAACAAAAGATAAAAGACTTTATATGATTTTTAGGTTATCGTGATTTCAATTGGAAATTTTAAAGATTAATATTTTATAATTGATGTACTAATATTTTGACTCATTTATTGTAATGATGATAACATTTGTATTTAATATTAAAACTAAAAAAATTATATTTCAATTTAAAAATTTAATAAAAAGGACAAATAATATTAAGAATTGATATAGTATTTAAATTCGATTAACTGTCCTCATATTTAAATTTTTATTAATTAAAAAATATTAAGTCACGTGTACAAAGAAGACGTATGCATAATATGCAAAATACATTATTAAAAATTAATATGTATAAAATTAAAACTAGTAAATATAAAAGCACGTCCTTAAAAACTAATATAAACAGAACTAAAACTAGTAAATATAAAAATGAAAATGAATAAAAGAAATATTAAGATTAACAAAAATGGATATCACTAATTTTAATAACGACAAATTACCCCGGTTTTGATTGATTAAAAATTAAAATGAGAAATTATTATTTATAAAAATTTTTAATTTGATTTTCTGTTATATCCAAATCCTATTGATCTATGAAGGAATATAATTCTATCAAAAGTTTTTTAAACAATCTTATGTTTTGATCGCCTAAAAATATATGTATTAGTATTATTTAAAAATCTTCAATTTGGTAAAGAATAACGTTATTTGGTAAAGAATATTATATTTTTATTAAAATAAATTATGTAAAAATATTAACTAATTAAGAATATTGTTTGTAAAGAATAACAAGTACATTGCAAAGAATTGAATGCAATTATATACTCCTTCCATCCATTTTTTTTACATGATTTTACAAAATACGCATATTAAAATTTTAATCAACGGAAGTTAATTTGTCTTTTTTTACGCTTAACTCATTAATATATTAATAAAAGTTATTCATTTAATGAACGATTATAAAGGTTACTATGAAAAAAAAAAAGTTTATATATTTAAATTTAGAAACCTTGCAAACATCTTAAGACATTCAAAAAAGAAATAACAAGCAAATAAAATGGAATGGAGGGAATATATTTTTTGAAATCAAATACATATTAGGAATCCTAATTGATATATATATTAATTGATATATATAATATAATATATATATTTTAAATATTTAAATTTAATTAGAAATTAGAATCATACTGGAAAGTTTTCTAATATCATACCAATTTGTGTAAAAATAAAAATCACAATTGAATTTTATTTGCTTTAGCTATTAAATAAGTTTTATTTTTACTTTGAAGACTCATTGCCTTATTATTGTTGATCATTTTTTTCTTATTTTTGAGATATTAATTTTTATTTTTATTTTTTATATACTACCAGGAAAAAAACTTTTTAATTAGGTCATTAAAAATTTTTTTAGGAAAAATTATAATTGTAACTCATTTTTTGTCGAAATTAACTACATTACCCTTTATTTTTCAAAATACCTCATGTTTTAAGTTTCTTATACCCAATACCCTTCCGTCCATGTTTTGCACATTCAGATATTAAATTGTCATGAGATGATGTATCAGTAATCTATACTATATATAAACTAGTCGTAAACCCCGCTTCGTGCGTGGTTTTAAATTTAATCATATAAAATATATTTCTTCTTTTTTAATTAATAAACTTTATGAAAGAAAAAAACAAAAGGAATAATATTTGAAAAAGAGAGAAAAAATAAATTCATTGAAAATTTGATATTAATATATTTAAAAATTGCAAATTTGATTTTATGCGGAATATGCAAATTTTTTCTTTTCTTAAGTATTAATATATAATTTTAAAAATTATGTTATTAATAAAAAATAATTTTATTATTAATTAATTATTAAAAAATAATTTTATTATTAATTAATTTATAGAAAATAGCCTATAATTATAGAAAATAGCTAAAAATTTAAATTTAATATTCTATAAATTATTTTATATGTTTCTTTGTTCTGTTTTTTTTTTCACTGTTCCAAAAAAGTAATTTAGAGACACTGTTATGATATTAAGCTAACTGAAATATTCATTCCTTTTCATTATTATTTAACGAAGGAAGACTTTTTTTTATCCGAGCGATAAGTAAAATTTATATGATAAAGTAGTAGACAATATACAGTAGATTACATTTAAAATTTCAAATTAGAATCCTAATTATCTACATACTTATATATGTATTAAAAAAAAAAAAAAAAAATTATGTTAAGTTAGTCCGAACTAACTAAATTATTTCTATTTATCAAAAATACATTACTTTCAATTAGAGGTGTTGGTCATTTGTGCCCATCTAAATGAAGAACCCCCGTAATATATATATATATATATATATATATATATATATATATGCTAATCCTTCCCGTAGAGATAAATTTTGAAATCCAAATTATTTTTCCCGATTTTATATATATATATATATATATATAATTATATAGAAATCGGGAAAATATATATAGAAATCGGGAAAAATAATTGGATTTCTGATAGCTCTCTTAATAAAATTTAAATATACTAAAATAATTTTAGTTATAATCAATAAGAAAATTAGATATGTTAGTTAATAATCTTGACAATTTCAATTGTGTTCATGTTAGTAGGAATAAGGACATGGTAGCTCATGAGCTATCTAGGCTAACTTTTAATTCTTTAGGGGATATTATTTGCGTGGAGGAGGTCCCCCTTTATTGATTATTTTGTATTTGTTGACAAATCTTCTCTAAATTTATAATATTCAAGATTTTCAATTTGATTTACTTAAAAAAAATAGAAGTTGATCGGATATGAGTTATTAAAATTATTTTTTAATTAAATACATATAAATAATTAAGCATTTTAAAAGTTTTAAGTTTTATCTTTTTTAAATTTATTTTTTAATAAATGTGTGATAATGAGATATTTAAAAAATTTTATATTTTATTTTTCAGATTTATTTTTTAAATATTTAATTTAAATTTATATTAATATTTTTTCTTTATTTTGTAAATTTGATTGGATTATATTTTTTATAATTTGATTGGATATATTTTTTAAAAAAAGTAAAAATTTAAATAAAATATTCATAATTAAACCTTTCAAAATTTTTAGATTTTTATGTTTTAAAATTTATTTTTAAATAAAATGAACATACCTGTGCGCAGAAAGCCATACATTTGAAATTTTTAATTTTAAGATATATAATACTTTATTAATAATAACAATTGATTCTCCTAGATTATAACAAAATCAATAACAATTTGATTTCAAAACTAAAAATAACTTGATTATTGTATTTAATTAAATGATATTATTTGAATTAAATAAAGGTAATATTGCACAACATCTAATCAAAGAAAACTTATTACAGCAGTCAATAAATGAAGTCAAGTAAAAGAGTGTAACTTCTTTGAATTTCCTTTCTGTCCTTATTTCGAACCTTTTGTTTATTGTTGTCTTTATAGATTACAACATTGAATCCCCACTACTTTTTCTCGACAGTCCGAAAATAAATCAACTCAAAAGAGTACTCTTGTCACTAAAACAGCACTCAGTAACCAAAAATGGTGGTTGCTAGCCCTGGTGGTGGTGGGGGCTTATGTGGTTTGGCTGACATGAAGAACTTAACCGTCCAAGCCATCGCCGGCCGTTGGTTCATGGTTTTCGCGTCACTTGTAATAATGGCTGCCTCTGGTGCAACTTATATGTTCGGTCTTTACTCAAACGACATCAAAACCGCCTTAGGTTACGACCAAACGACGCTGACTCTACTAAGCTTTTTCAAAGACTTAGGATCCAGCCTTGGCGTCTTTTCCGGCCTAATCAACGAGGTAACTTCCCCATGGGTGGTTCTTTCTATGGGGGCAGTCCTAAACTTTTTTGGGTATTTCATGATTTGGCTTGCCGTCACCGGAAAAATCTCCGGCGTCCATGTTTGGCATATGTGCTTATATATTTATATAGGAGCAAACTCTCAAGCCTTTGCAAACACTGGTTCTTTAGTCACTTGCGTCAAGAACTTTCCTGAAAGTCGCGGTGCCGTAATCGGAATCTTGAAAGGTTATGTAGGGCTTAGTGGTGCAATTATAACCCAAATATATTATGCCGTTTACGGTGATGATTCAAAAAGTTTGATCTTGCTGATCGGTTGGGTACCGGCGGCTATTTCTTTTGCTTTCTTGAGAACTATAAGAATCATGAAGGTAATTCGCCAACCGAATGAGCTCAAAGTTTTTTACAATTTTCTCTACATTTCGCTAGGCCTTGCAACGTTGTTAATGATAATTATTATACTGCAAAAAGGAATGCAATTTACACGAAGTGAATATGGTGCTAGTGCTGCTATGGTTCTTCTCTTGCTGTTTTTGCCTCTTGCTATTGTTTTAATAGAAGAGTACAAGATTTGGCAAAGCAAGAAACTAGCTTCAAATAACCCTTCTTCTTTAACAATAACTACAACCGAAGAAAACACTGCCACAGGCACACCCATGGATGCCACAGCCAGCACTGCGGTCTCGTCGGAAAATGTCATTGAAGAAAATGTTTCATGTTGGAAAACTGCGTTTAAGCCACCAAGTAGGGGAGAGGACTACACAATATTACAAGCACTTTTTAGTATTGATATGCTAGTTCTCTTCTTAGCAACAATTTCTGGAGCTGGAGGAACATTAACAGCTATTGACAACTTGGGTCAAATAGGGACATCTTTAGGGTACCCTAAAAGAAGTATAAGCACTTTCGTTTCATTAGTGAGTATATGGGGTTATCTTGGTAGAGTTGTGGCAGGTTTTGCTTCTGAACATTTTTTAACGAAGTACAAATTTCCTCGCCCGCTAATGCTTACTTTGATCCTTTTATTTTCTTGTGTGGGGCATCTCCTAATTGCCTTTAATGTCCCCGGTGGACTTTACGTCGCTTCAGTAATAATTGGGTTTTGTTTTGGTGCTCAATGGCCCCTTTGCTTTTTGCTATAATCTCTCGAAATTTCCAAATTCTATATCTACTACTATGGGGGGGGGGGAAAAAAAAAAAAAATTTTTGTTTATTTTCTTGTGTGGGGCATCTCCTAATTGCCTTTAATGTCCCCGGTGGACTTTACGTCGCTTCAGTAATAATTGGGTTTTGTTTTGGTGCTCAATGGCCTTTGCTTTTTGCTATAATCTCTGAAATTTTTGGTCTCAAGTACTATTCTACTTTGTACAATTTTGGGGGAATGGCTAGCCCTATTGGGTCCTATGTGCTGAATGTGAAAGTAGCAGGGCATTTGTATGATATAGAAGCAAAGAAGCAATTGGCAGCTAAAGGACTTACGAGGCAGCATGGTCAAGAGCTCAGTTGCATTGGGATTGAGTGCTTCAAATTATCCTTTATTATAATTACTGCTGTGACAATATTTAGTACTCTTGTGTCACTTATTTTGGTGCTTAGGACTAGAAAATTTTATAAGAGCGACATTTATAAGAAGTTCCGAGAGGCAGCACAAGCAGTGGAGACAGAGATGGCAATGGCCGGCAATGGCATCCAACAGACAGAAACGAAGGCAGCTAGCTAGCTAGCTATCAAGGATTAGATATCAATATAGAAAGAATGAAAAAAAAGAACACTTTAGATAAATACATGGTTATCAAAAAGAGGCAAATAGCTTTGTTTTAAGAATTCACTTCAATGAAATAGAATAATATTTTGATTTGTATTTCAAAACAAATTGAAGAGGCAAATTTATTGAATTACTATTGTGATTGTGAAGCTATTTTGATATTTGACAAAAGCGAGAGTAATTAGTTTAGAATTGTGATGTAGACTTATTGAATATAAATGGCATTATCTTTCTATCGTATGGTTTTATTTTTGTTGCTCTTCGTTGTCAATGGTCAATTTCTGCCGTTTGTTTTCAAATATTGGACTTTAATGTAAAACTGGACTAATATTAAAAAAGCTTGGCAATATTAGGCATGGTTATAAGAACCGGACCGGAATTCTGATACTCCCTACTATGAGGGTCCACTCATGCCAACCTGCAAGATGTATCACATCAGAAATTGTTGATTGCATTATAATTAACAGTTCTTGAATATACTTTCCATGTTAGGAAACTACTCTGAACAGGTTTTTTAGATCAGAAGTAGCAACAATTCTACTCTTTTGGATTACAATTCCATGTGTTTTCATTTAGGTCAGTCCTTCCTTAGGCTGTCACCATATTCTTTTGGCCTGAGTTATGTTTTCCGGCATGGATATCGCAGTCACAAAACAGCATCAAGGAAGCATCATGCCAGAATATATCCAGTTCATACAATGGCAAGCAAAAAGGGGTAGGCACATCATATACTAGAAAAGCGTTAAGTACATTCAACTTGAACTAGCCACTCTGTTGGTCTGTAAGCCACCCATTGCATAGAAAAAGACACTCCACACAAAAATTAGTTTTGAATTTTCTAAAGTAAACATGACTAACTTTTCTTGAAACAAGAACAAATACTTGTATTTTCCTCATAATGAGCATAAAAAAGTGATTTAACCATTTGACTATGACTTAATTAATTTCTTTACGTGATTGAACCATTTAATTAATTTGGTCCATGCAAACAGATATTATGCCGGTGAGCTTACAAAAGGTAGACGCTTTCAGTAAATATTTGCTTCATCTTTGATGATAACCCTCAATCTCATATAAAGGAAAAGAGCGCCTCGTCTCAACACTCAATTGGTTGAAGTCATATAAAAGAAAAGAGTTCCAAATCACATATCTCAACACTCAATTGGTTGGAGTCAATTGGTTGGAATAGCTTGATGATTAGAGGGACTACCAACTGTGGTTGAAGGTAGTGCTACCATCAAAAAATTTTCTACTTGCTGTAATGATAGTTGTTTTCCTTCCATCTACAAAAACATTATATTGGTCTTACTCTTTGGAACTTCCACATTTTCCCTATAAACGCCTGCTTTTATTCTAATAACATACCTTTTATACTTTTTGAAGGAGCAGCATTAACTTCATGTCTTCATCTTGAATTTCTTATATTTCCCACTTCCATCATCTGCCACCACCACAATCAGGAGTCACCGAGGACGACTGCAACAACCTCCGGTCACCTGCCTACAACCACTCCGGCCACCCACTTTCTTGATCTTTTCCCTGCTCCTTAAGCTTCCTATTTGAAGTAGCAGCTAATTTAAGCTCATCAGCAATATCAGTATACTTTTGCCTCTTGTGTTGGACAGAACTGGAAACTACAGATCACGTTCTTCTGAAATGCCGTTTAGTTAGAGAGGTCTGGATGTGAGTGATTAATTGGTGGGAAATTCAAGGTGTTTTGCCTGATAGCATTGTGGAACTAAACTGGCAAACAATTTGGCTAAGAAGAAATAAGCTGTTATTCTCTAATGAAGAGCAATAGAATGAGGCTGTTATGGACATGATCAAATTGAGAAGTTTCAAGCTGCTTAAGGCAAATTTTCCAATGGCGCCTTATTGCCTCAGTGACTGGATGTGTTTCCCCATTCTTGTGTGCAACAGTGTTGTTGGAATAAAACAAAGAAAAATGCACCAAGTTGAATCTCAGCCGCGGGTGTTTCCGGAACATGGGACCTTGAAATTCAATGGCGGTGGATCCTCAAGAGGCAAGCCAAGAGATGCATGTATTGTTGGCGTGCTTAGAAATGCTTTAGGTAATGTCCTGTGTTTGTTTTTTAAATCTGTAGGAGTTATGGCATGGTTATAAATATTATATCTGATATACTTGTGTTTTTTTTTTCTTGTTTGTCAGTAGTTTCTTTTCTCCTCTCACCAAAAGGGATCGCCGTTATTTACTCCTGTATTTTGGATTATCTATCGAGTGTGAATTCAGGTTTTTATTTAATTTTCCATAATAAGATAGAGTGTATTGAAAAAAGCTTAATGGCTTAAGTACAGTAACCTGGTTAGTTGAGATTTTGTCTCCTACATTGCCAAAGCATTTTTACACATTTTCTCTTCGTGAACTTGACTAGCCAACAAAGCTTCTCTTATATGCTTACAGCTTCGTCACGAGAGAAAGCAAGTTTCTTGATTGTTTATAGGGAAACTCAATAGGGTTTTAAGATCATCTGCATGTTGCGACAAAGGTTTCTTGTTTCGTCAAATTAAGATTTCAAACGTTAAACTTACAATTTTTACTTAACTAATTGTTTTGTGAAATTTTTCATTTAAAATAATGGTATTAAATATCAACACTTTTTTATATTTTAGGATAAAAATTGCATTTGCTCCTAATTCCAAAATTTCTTTTAAGTATATATTTATCCTTTATATCATTTATGAAATTAAAAGTTTGGATTTTAATTTTTGTATACAATAACTAAAATGTGGTGAAAATATAAAAAATAAAAAAATTACATTGATAGTACTATGCAATATTTTCCTTGAATATTTTATTTATGAATATGTTATTTAGTTTACTTCGAAATAAAATCACATGTAGTATGATTATTTACCAACGACCTAATTTTTTTTTTTTAAAGAATTTACCAATTAATGAAGTATTATAAATTGAATTTGTAAAATATGTTTTAAATCTAAATCAAATATTAGGTAATGAAAATAAAAACAATGGAAAACTTATAATCATACCCTTATGTTTTGTCAAAATTAATCACTTTACTCTTGTATTTTTTAAAATATACTATCATACTCTCATGTTTTATGTATGAAACATCCAGTGTTCCTCTCATTTATTTTTTACACTTTCAAAAAACAAGTAAAAGGAAAACCTTGTTACCCAAAAAAAAAACTAATGGCCCTCATATTCTTCCTTTCTTTCTCATCCGCAAACAAGTTCAAAATTCTCCCTCCACGATCACTACCATCTGAGAATCTCCCCTCAAATTGCCTCTAAGATCTCCTTTCCCCCTTCACACACACGCCCTTTCCATGGATATTGCATCCCCCAATCTCTTTCTAATTATCACATTCTCAATATTCTTCTTATTATTTTAATTTATAAGAAATATGTGATTTACATGAGATAATATGGTTTCTTTTGGCTTTTATAATGGAAATGTTTTAAACAATCTGATTTTGCATTATGTTGATGTTTCTATATATATATATATATTCCTCAATTGAGGTGGAACTGATTATTTGTTGTTTTGAAAAGTAATAAATTTTTTTCCAAGTTACCATTTGTATATGACCAACAATTACTGTTTTAATTTCTCAAAATTTGGTGTTTGGATATGTTGAGTTAAGGGTAATATAGTCAATTTATTCAATAATTTATTGTAACTTAGACAAATTTAATGATTTGCTGAAAAAAACCTAGAATTCCTTTAGGAACGGAGGTAATACATCTTTTTGTTAATTTTTTAAGTTTTTTAGGAAATTCCATCAATTTAAATTATTTATACAAGTCCCTAAATAACTTTAGATTTATGCATGTGTTTGTAATGATAATGGGTGGAGACACTTTAAGACAAAACATGATAGTAAAGGGCAAAAAAAAGCAGAAAAATCGGATTTAATTGGATCAATACAGTTTTTCGATCTTTCCAGTTCGAAGTTTTATCTGGTTTTTAGCCATTAGCTTTAAATATCAAACTAGATCAGATTGACTATCGATTCACAGTTGAATCAGTTCAATTAGTCGATCTGATTCAATTTTAAAAACACAGAAAAAACTAAAATTATAGATAAACTTCTGATAATCAATTTAAGTCCAGTTGCAATTTAAAAGAGTATTTTGGAAAAGTTATACCTCATCCGTGGGAAATGAAACAAATGGAAGGTAATATTGGAGTGTTGAAAAACCTATCCTACATTATTGGAACAAAAAAAAAAATGAAGAAATAAGAATAAATGAATTGACATTTAAACTAGAGATGGATTTACTTAAGCCCAATTACGGATTCACTCAAACCAATCAAGAATAATACTTTTATTAAAATGAGAATATCTCTAACCATTCATTGAAAAAAAAAATAAAGTGATAATTTTATTCGTTTTAATGTTTGATCAATGAGTTTATTCATCTATCATTCCAAAACTATATCTCATCCTATCAATTATCGTACCTAGAATCAATTGGTAACATAAAAATTTTTAAATTACTATTTGCGTAATAATAGTAAAATGCCTTTCACTAAATTAACGAAGTTCTGGCCATCGGAAAGACACGTGGAGGACACATGGTTTTATTTATACTTAAAAACGTTTACACCTCAGTATCCCCTTTAATTTTTCTCTCCTATAAATCTCTGCCAAAACGCATCCGCCTCCTTAAGCACCACCATTGCCGCCTACGTCTGTATATTAACCTCCATTCCAAACCTCAAAACTCTCTCTTTCTATTGTTTCTCCAGCACTTCGTTCCAAATGGATCACAAATCTATAGCCGTACCCAGGACTAACCCATAAGTGACAATATGACAAGGGACAATAAATGAAAACGAGTAACCCATAAGTGGACATATAGACCAAATTTAAGTGTTGTCCTTTAAAGTAAGTGGTGGACATTGTTTAATGACCCACAATAACCCACAATTTCAAACATACACACTTGTTAATTACTTCTTGTTGTCATCTTCAATGGCTCCAAATTTATCAGCAAATTACAAATTCTTTGCCTAAAACTGTCATATTTGCCATTGCACACCTTTCATGTTCGAATCACATGACTCGTCCAATCACTCACCCGTCCTTATCTCAATTCACTGCGTCACTGCCTCAGCAATTCATGGGTTATAAGACAAAAAGTGGTTCAAAATATTGTTATACTCCGCTTTAAAACCTTATTTAAAAAAATTTAATCCCTCGAAAAAAAAAAAAGTTTGAGCCCCGTAACAAAATTTTTCCTATTCACATATAAAAATAGCAAAAACGAAAAATTGAATAGTATAGATATAATTAACTATGAAATTCATGTATTATATATGTTATCTATATTGTAAAAAGTGTGAAATTTTGAATTAGAATCCTCTCGATTTAAAGGTTTCATCAATTAGATGAGTCAATGAGAGTGTTATCCTATTGCATGACAATAGTTCGCAGTATTATTTTAACCCATTGAACTAAATTGTTTTACGAAGAAAACTATAAAACAAATTTATAAAAAATAAAAGGAAATCTTTGAAAAGTGGATTGAAAGCTCTCGATGGAGAAAACATGTACATTGATGACCGAAAGTGAGAAATAGGTGAGTATCTAATTAATTGGCCATCTTATTAGGTCGGACATGTTATAAGATCCAAAAAATAAGTAGCTAAAAAAGATAAATATAACTCTAGAGTCAGATTTGAAATCTAAAATTGGTAAAAAGTTTGTCTAAATATCATCATGTTGGAGTGTAAATTAGGTTTACAACTTATGCGGATCCAAACCATGTGGCTAAAAAAAAAAAATGCCAGCTTTGAACTTTCCTCCTCCAACAGACATAAGCTTCAAAGTTATTCTATACAAAGAATCTTAGCTCGAGATTGCAGTCCCAATAGCCAAACGTAAAAAAATGGACAATTACTTCCTTGTACTGCGGAGGAAACTAAATTAAAATTACTTTCTCTTTTAACAAAATCAAAACAACCAATAATGTGTCGGTTCTGGGTGATAATAAAAATAGCTCCATACTCATAATCAAGAAAAGTGAAATTGTATTTCATTATATGGAAATAGAATACGTGTTTGAAATACAAATCAGCATATCATTGTATTGCATTACAATGAATTTTTACAACAAAGCTATTCTAAATTTATTTTTCATTCTTTCTTATATTGATTTCTAATCCTTGATAGCTAGCTGCCTTCGTTTCTGTCTGTTGGATGCCATTGCCGGCCATTGCCATCTCTGTCTCCGCTGCTTGTGCTGCCTCTCGGAACTTCTTATAAATGTCGCTCTTATAAAATTTTCTAGTCCTAAGCACCAAAATAAGTGACACAAAAGTACTAAATATTGTCACAGCAGTAATTATAATAAAGGATAATTTGAAGCACTCGGTCCCAATGCAACTGAGCTCTTGACCATGCTGCCTCGTAAGTCCTTTAGCTGCCAATTGCTTCTTTGCTTCTATATCATACAAATGCCCTGCTACTCTCACATTCAACACAAAGGAGCCAATAGGGCTAGCCATTCCCGCAAAATTGTACAAAGTAGAATAGTACTTGAGACCAAAAATTTCAGAGATTATCGCAAAAAGCAAAGGCCATTGAGCACCAAAACAAAACCCAATAATTATTGAAGCCACGTACAGTCCACCAGGGACATTATATGCAATTAGGAGATGCCCCACACAAGAACATAAAAGGATCAAAGTAAACATCAGAGGGCGAGGAAATTTATATTTGGTTAAAAAATGTTCAGAAGCAAAACCTGCCACAACTCTTCCAAGATAATTCCATATACTCACTAATGAAACAAAAGTGCTTATACTTCTTTTGGGGTACCCTAAAGATGTCCCTATTTGACCCAAGTTATCAATAGCTGTTAATGTTCCCCCAACTCCAAAAATTGTTGCTAAGAAGAGAACTAACATATCAATACTAAAAAGTGCTTGTAATATTGTATAGTCCTCTCCCCTACTTGGTGGCTTAAACGCAGTTTTCCAACATGAAACTTTTTCTTCAATTACATTTTCTGACAAGACCGCAGTGCTGGCTGTGGCAGTGTTTTCTTCGGTTGTAATTATTTTCAAAGGAGACGAGTTATTTGAAACTAGTTTCTTGCTTTGCCAAATCTTGTACTCTTCTATTAAAACAATAGCAAGAGGCAAAAAAAGCAAGAGAAGAACCATAGCAGCACTAGCACCATATTCACTTCGTGTAAATTGCATTCTTTTCTGTAGTATTATAATTATCATTAAAAACGCTGCAAGGCCTAGCGAAATGTAGAGAAAATTGTAAAAAACTTTGAACTCATTCGGTTGGCGAATTACCTTCATGATTCTTACAGTTCTCAAGAAAGCA